ACAGAAGCAATGATAAGGAAATTCCTCCTACTCACCCTCATCCCAGGACGAACGGGACAGAGAGATGGAGCAATAAGAACGGCATTGTTGCAGGGTTGAGAGTTGTAACATCTGATAGGTAAGAGCAGTGTTATTCACTTAACAAACAATTGGGGTGTATTTGTCACCTCTACAGATCAGTCTGGCATTCAAAATTTGAATTATTTTTTTATTGTAAAATTGATTAGGTTGGTAAGCAAGAAAGATCAATCTTGCTGTTCCAAAAATCATGCCTAGAAAATCTCAACCCTCTATCATTTGTTTTATACTAGTATTAAATGCCTGCAATGCCTCCGGCAATTTTCTCCCCTTAGGCAAAATGCCTGTCTTTTTTAAGTCATTTTTTTTGCTACTTTATTGTTGGACACAAGCTAAGAGATTAAGCTTAGATGATCGGATGTCCTTTTCTGCAACTGATAATCAATTGTGTTATTTTGCTTTCTTGACAATAAAAGTCTTTCAGAGCTTTTGTCAATGTATTGGACACTGCTTTTGCTTCTAAGCAAGCAAGTAAAATATTTCTGGCTTCTAGCACTTTAAGCTGACCTAGAGAAATACCTTTGTTTTTATAACCTTTAGAATAAATTAATTAACTTTGTGAAATTATTCTCATTTTCATTTAGTATATTATAATTTTTTTTTTTTGAAAATATAAACTAAACAAATGGGGTAATTTGTTTTTCAACATTTTTAAATCTTATTAATTTTAATAAAAGGTAAAATAGCTTTTTACTTTCCTTTAAGATTTGGGAAAGTAATATGTAATGCCCTGAGTTTTTAGTCATAGTTATTAAACCAAATTAGTTGGTTTGATCTTAGAGTCAGAAGCCTAGCATGTTCGTTTTGATAAGTAGTATATCAAATAAGCATAAGGTTTGATTAAAATAAGTCAAAAGCTATAGAAGTTAGTGAAATCATTTCAGTTTTGCTATTTGATCATTTGGTTTTTCTTTTATTTTTATTTAATTTGTAATTATAATATGTAAATGCTCAAAGTTTATTAAATGAAGTGGAAAGTGGAATTTAAAGGCACTAAAGTAGAATTGCTCTTTACACACATGTTAGGGATAGGCGAGGAGGATATTTAATGTTGGATATAATTTATGATTGTATTAGTAAACCTACATATATTTAATAATAATAATTATATGTTATACGATATCATAAACATTAAACCTAATTAAAGTGATCATATAGGATTAAAATGTATGCTTAGTGATATCTCATAAGTGTAATAGTTATTTATATGTAGGTATAAAAGTTTATATCTAATTTTAAAATTAACCCAAATTAGAAATTAAAACTTAAGAAATTAAGTGTGGCTATTCTCAAGTTATAAATAGAGGTGATTTTTGTTTAAAATTTTATTATTAGAAAGAATCATTTTTTATTATCTATTTAAAATCTTTTTATATCAACTTGAAGATAAAAACTACGAAAACAAAGTGCAACAGCATTCTCTATAGAACTTCATATGTTTTCACTCTTGACATTTTCTCTTGATTATTTAACTAAAAATGGCAATGGGATGGGTTCGAGGTTGGTTTTTACTAAACCCGAATCTTCCCACCCTTGTGAAGAGCAAACTTGAACCCACTCCTGATCCAGAGTGGGTTTGATTTCAACATTTAATGCTCTTAACAATAACAATTTTCCATGTTTGAAAATTTCACTAGCGACAATTTGTTTCAACTATGTCGATAAGTTGTACTTTATATGTACGGTCACATTGCTCAGAAAAAAATTTCTCATAAATTAATTCATAAAGTTTTTTCAAAATGATTTTGATGGTTTTTTTTCAAAATTTTTTTCAAAATTTTTTTCAAATGTCACTCTTAAGATTTAGAAAAAAAAATGATTGAACTATACTTTTTGAGCCATATATTTGAATGACTTTTACATGAGTAAAAGTTGAATTTAATACTATATTTAAATCTTCTCTTATTCTTCTTCGTTTATCATTTTCCTTGAATTTCTTCAAATTTAAGTGCTCTTCCTTATTATAATATAAAGAAGTCTTATTACAATAATCAAGTATTGGCATCATCTGAATCAATTTAAATATTTTAACAATAACTATTGGGGATAATCCAATTTAGTTATTTTTCTTCTCAATTCTCTTACTTCAATTCAGATGCTAATTTTTGATGAGTTTATCTTCACATGGCATTTGGCTCCATCTATCTAACATTTTTAATCGCTACACTTCTTAACATGTGTGTCTCTCACAGCTTTGTTGATCTAATTGGCTAAGTTGGAAGTAGAAACTTCAGTGGGTCATGTTCATCTCATAGTGAAAGGTCATTCATAACTCTTGTTTAAAATTCGTTTTTCTTCTATTCCTTCTATTTTTTAGTTTAGTTTAATTTTAGGTGATGTTAGGTCATTTTTACTTCTTTTTTGTTAGATAATAAAATTTGTAATTAATCTGCACATGTTTTAACTGTGAAGTTCTTATTGTGCTTGTTAATTTTATCTGTTCAGAAGAGATTTTTGCTTTTTTAGTCTATTTACTTAAAGTTCTTACTGGATTTATATTGATTACTTATTCTCTATTAAAAAAATTTATTATAGTGTCAATAAATTAACATCAAAGTGAATTTAGTTTGAACATATATAATTTATTTTTTGGACAGAGAGAGAAAAAAAGAGAGATAGAGAGAGAGATGAACTAGATAATTAATTCATAAGACATGCAAACATTGTTGTAAGAAATATTAAGCCAAAATACTCATTTAGTTCCTATATTATCAAAAAAAATTATATTTTAGTCTCTAATCATTAACGGTATTAATGGAGATGCCACGTAGATCTAGCTTTGCCACATAACATATTTTAAGTTGATCTAGCTTTGCCATATGACACATTTAATATGGTAAGGTTCAACTTGTTTAAAAATAAATCAGATAGTCCAAGTAAAAAAAAAAGAACAAAATGGTTCAAGTATTTTTAATCCTAAATCCCTAAATTTACTAAACCCTAAATTTCTTAAATGTTCTCTTTTGTTGCGATCTCCTTCTGGTCTGGCGGCCTTTATCCTTCTATACTTTCTAGTTCACTGGTGGCTCTATATCATTATCTGTCATCAAGTCTATTTTGGTTTCTACACTTGTTTGTGGTTGCTTCTCTAAACTAGCCTGGGCTTTTGTTTGCCACATGGCCAACCTAGGTCTCTTTCATCACACTTTTCTTCTGATTTGGTAGTGTACTCGTTTGTTGCTCTCTCTCCCTTTAGACTCTCTTGTTTCCTTATGGCTCAATTTCCTTCTAGTCTCTCATTCATGTTATCCTTCTGGTGGCTTCTTCTGGTGCCTAATTGTCCATCGTCTCAATAGTGGATACTTGTCACACTTTGATTCATTATAAAAGAATTCATATCCAACAAAATAGAGATTAAAGTGAATCTATATTTAATATATTTAAACATCTTAAATTTGTTTTCGTTCGTACTTGAATTATCCCAATTTATTTTGAATTAGATAAAAATTTATGTTCTCAAACTAAATAGTTACTATTATAATATGCAAAAGATCATTCACAGTTTAAATCAATAGTTATTTATGGATATGATGGAGATACAAGCTCGTTGAGTACTCAAAACAGTTATCACCATTTACCGGAAAAGGAGTCACCAGAAGGAGCCGCGACGAGGGACAATCATCCACCAAAAAACATAACCAGAAGGAGATTACAATTAAGGAGAATGTTCGAAAGATTTACGGTTTGGTAAATTTAGGGCATTAGGGTTAAAAATGCCTGTACTAATTTTCTTTTACCTGAACCAACCAATTTATTTATAAAAAATTAAACCTTTCCAAGTTAAATACTACATCTCCGTATGCATGA